TAGCACCGTTCTGAGTTGATTCATTTTCTGGCTACCATGTAGAGTCATATTGATGGCTCAGGCACAAGTTACTAACACAATTGCTTTGTTTTGCTCCTAGTCTTGAAATTACTTCAGTCTATCTGCCCTGTGTTCTGCTGCATGGAAAATATGCTTACTGTACGTGCAGTCCTCTTTTCAAAGGCTTTACTGAATCAGGCTTCTGATGTTAAAACTTTCTCATACAATTTCAGTAACGCAGCTTACTTCTGGCCTGTAACAGCTACTTGCTAGCCTCCATAGTGTCACAAAACTGGCAGTTTCCTGTTCTCCATGCTCAAGTAGAATAATACATGCACCAACAGTCACTCATATATGGAACATATGAGGAAAAAAAAAATGTCCCAAATTCCCTCTGTTGAATTTCAGGGGAGACTATCAAGGATTTTTTTTTTTTTGAATAAACACTAAAATGCAAATGATGTATGGGAAGGTGATGAAGCTAACATGGAGTCAAAAAATCACTTGAACACTCATTGAGTTTTCAGAGAGATGCTTTTTAGAGGTCAGTAAGACTGTTTTCCTTGTGTACCAGGTCAGGATTGCTATCAGAAGTGGCTGAGACCAAGCTTTCCCTTAGCTACAAATCAATGAAATACGTGAGTCAAAATGAAAAGCTCTAGGTTTAATAAATCAGTCTAATTTAATTCTCTGGAAGATTGCTTGCTTATATCTATCCTAAGTTAGGGCTGTAACATGTAATTTATAAATTTTTCTAATCTTAATTCATTCCAAAACTTGTAGAAATATTATCTTTAGATAAAACAAGGTTATCACAAGAGTCTCATGTTGTGTAAAAATAAAATCCTCTTATTTCAGGACTGTCCTCAAATGTAACTCCTGCACATTAAAATATTCTCATAGCATTTCTGTGCGTGCTCAGCAGTAAGCAAATTAAAAGAAAATTCACAAATATGTTGATATGCACAAGCTTTCTTTGCAAAATGGAAGGCTTTCTGCAGTGGGGCTGCCCACTGCAAACACCTCTACAGACAGAAGTGCAAACCCTTACAAATCCGCAGGCGATTCAGACTGCAGGGAAATCACAAACGCTGGTATGAGAATGCATACCCATTTCTGAAGGCCTGATGAGGAAGAGTATCCTAAGGAATACAAAAATTGAGGAACATTAAAAGAGTAGTTAAAAAAAAGTGTAGAACGGGTACACTGAAGAAATCGGGTCTATTAAAGCACACCAACAAAATGAGGACTTGGTAGGTGTAGTCATGTCTGATTATTCTGTCTACACTGTATGCAGGTGTTATCCCTTGAAGTTGTATGTGCAGTTAGATGGGAAAGAAAACATCTCAACACACGTACCTCCTCCTCGAGTCATTTCCCAAAAGTGACCAGCAGAGGCAGTTGCTGGAGCGGGACCAGGAGGAGCCTTTCCCAGACGGGAGGGCCTCCTCTGCGCAGGGCTGTGCGTGCGCGCTGAGCGAGGCTCCGCGCCAGGCCGCGGCTTGCGCACACGCTCGCACGTTTATCGTTATCACCGCGTCCCCCGCGGATCCGCAGCCTCCGCAGGCGGGGAGCTGCGCGCAGGCACCGCCGTCCCCGCGCGCACCGCGTGTTCCCGCTCCTGCTGGGCGGCGGCTGCGGTTATCGAGGTTTGTCGGCCTTCCTCTGCCCCTCCGAAAAAGATGATGGCTTATTTCAGCAGAGCAGTGCTGCTCCTGATCACTGTAAAAAACCTTGTACATGTATATAATGTATATGTTATATGTATGTATATAACCGTTTTATATGTGTGTAAGCAGTGCTCGATGTGGTGCGCGCGCCCATCCCCGCCCCGCCTGCCGGGGTCCTTGCCCCGCACTGCCCCCTGCTGCGCGCCGGGCGCGCCCCGTTCCGCGGGCGCGGGGGGGACGCGCAGCTCCTGCTCCACGGCGCTTCCCGCGCGCTCTGTCCAGCTCACGGTTAGCGCCCGCTTCTCATGCCTACACTAGTTCATACCTAAACCGCTTGCCCTCCAGGGCAACACTTTGGAAAACACCGCATAGATGCATAGGTGAGGCTGCAGTGGAAAACATTTAATGCTAACGTGTGAAATAGGCGGTAATAGATGCTTTCTCCTTCAAAAGACAAGACAACATTATATAACTCCAAAGATAACCAGATGAGAAAATTAACACTATCAAAGCCTAAAAATGATTAAGTGCCATTGAAAAGGTATTTTAAAAACAATACATCTTTGTGTGTTAAAATGCAAAATGCAAATATACCAAAACACAAATACAACCATTCTGCTTGTCCCAGAAATGCCACAAACAGAGCTGCAAACAGCGACTGATGCAGCGGCCGCACACAGACCTTAGCCAATTCTTTTGAAGCAAGCAGTGGAACACTAGTGCAAGGCACACAGGAGTGTCATTAACAAGGAGCTTGCGTAGCATGAAGCTTCCCTGCATGGTAAAACTAAACCTGCAACTGTTGATGAGCCTCGGGGTTCAGCATCGTGGACACATTAGAAACACGAGTTCAGATCCCGACAGGATCAGCTCAGCTTGACAGCTCTCTGCTGCGTGTCTTGCAGTAGGAGCTGCTTTGCTACTATTATTTTATCAAATACCTCACATGAAGGACTCTCACCTGTCTTTGGGGGGCTTGTAGTTTGCTACTGTAGTACAAAAAGTAACGCAGCAACCCACAGAAATTACAGAGCAAAGGTTATGTATAAACCAAGACTTAGCTTCCAGAGTTACCTTGGGATGCGCATGCTCAGGATAACTTCCTTACAGCACAGTGGACAAATTCCCTGAAGCCTCTTGTTTACCTTGCTCTGGAAACTGCTTTCTCTCATTTGTAAGGGAGCCCCTGCAATTAACTGCTGGGGACTCCAGTAGGAGAGAAATTCAGCATTTCTGGTACAGATAAAATAGTTCAGGGCAATCTGTGAAATCCACCCCGCAAGGAATTAAAGATTCTTTTTTTCCTCCGGAAACTTTTGAGCCTCATCTGTACAGTTCTGTCTTTTGAAGAATGTTCAAAAAAATAAGGCAGGATTCATTCCTTAGTGAATTTTCATTATTCTGTTAGCACGGAGTCTTCCAAGTCCTGACTTTGCTAAGAAATACTATTATGCCCATTTCCTATATGAGGAAACTAGGGCACAAATTAAAAGTAGGACTGCATAATTAGTATGGAGAATTGCAGGTCATGCACTTTGTCAGACTGAGTAGCAGTTAAAATAAAGAGTTGGAGTTACTTACCCTCGGAGTTACTCAGCTTCCACCTTACTAAGGCACAGAAGTTTTACCAGGTTGTTAGTGACTCATAATCTTCGAACACTCATAGGCTTTTATCACCTTACACTTGTGATATAACTAAATTAATGGAGTTTACCACCACCTAATGACTTACCAGTATGTACAGCTTTATATTGTTGATAAGACAAGAAGGGAAATCCACAGAGGATGATTTTCTGGGGACTTTCTAGCTGCAGTAACCAAGATAATGATGAACCAGGTGTCTTCAGATTAATATCTATTATATTTGATCGAGAGGTACCCAGAGAACCACATTCCAGCAGGATATGTAGCTCCACTGAATTAATTCCTCTGGACTTCTACCGGAGGAAACACATCTCCACAACTGTTTTCAAACACCTACCGATTTGGGGTATTGCTGAAGCTTGTGTTCTAGTAAGCTTTAAAACCCAACATCCATCATGAAATTTAAATTATTTCAGCAATCTAGAGTGATTTTCAGAGGTTGTGATAGAGGGAAACATTTTACTCAGATTGTTTTAAAGTTTCCAGACTTTATCTACCTTGGAGTGTCCAAGGTCAACATCCACAGGCAGATTTCCTGGTCTGTTATGCAACAGACCATTCCTTTACCAGGAAAGGTATTGAGGGAGTTAATTCTGGCTTCTGAAAGGAGGTGAGCATCAGAATTGCACACCATCAACACCTGCTCCTTGCAGTAACACTGTGCCCATGGTACAGCAGGTCTCTTCCAAGCCAGCAGCGCACAGAGCTCCCGGCCCAAGCACATCACCGCCGCGAGAGGGGATAGGAGACGAGACAAGGAGGACGACTTGAGAACTGCAACTAGGCTGCTGCTGCACCAGCAGCTTCACATCTGCTCATGAGTCTGTTAAGGCTTTTTAGACTCCTGTGGGGAAATAATTTGATCAAAGTTGTCTCTCACAATAGTAATTTTAGTTAATTGCATAAGGAAACTCTATGAAATACCCTTCTTTTCTCTCCAATTGTGCATTAGGAGGTAAACCCTATCAGTCCAGTCCCTTGTTCACCTAGAAACAACAGCACAACCTGTTTTTTCAATCTCTCTGTTGTTCTTTACAATGTTTGTATGCTAAAAGTCATTGAGAAAACAAGCAGACAAGTCTGCTGGACAAAGAGATAATTCCATGGGAAAACATAATTTAAGTATAAACATAGTGTGCCCCTCCCAAATGATTTCCTCCTCAACAGTCCTGTAGTTATACACAGTCAATAGAAGAAAGCAAAAATAAGATAAATGGTCTGGAGAAGTAGATACTTATTAGAATTGTTACTTTTATTCACTAGAGCAACATTCAAGAAATTTTCTTTACATACAGTTTTTCAAATCAACTTTACAAGCAAATTCCAATATACAGTATTTACTCTGGCCTGGTTTAAAAAAATAATAAAGGAAAAAAAAACAACAATGCAGATAACTAAGGGTACTTTCTGTTTGTTTTTAAGCTAGTACTGAATTTAAGACTTCACTGACACTGGAATTATATTGTTTTAATGTGGTGCTTTTACAGTTAAGTAGGCAGTGAGCAGCTTGACCACAACAGTGATTGAACTTCCTTGATAGCACGGTTGTAAGGTTACTATAAAACTGAGACCTACCACCAGCGTCATGTATTAAATCCACTCTGCTCAGAAAAAGCCCCTCTATACATGAAAGGAGAGCTGTGGAAGCCCAGTTAAAGAGTATGGCCAATAAAAAGAGTCCACCTAAGAGTGTGTGTGCAAAAACTAGAGTTTGTCCCACCCTGCCCTCCCAAACATGCAGCCTTGCAGAGTGCGGACACTGCAGAAGGCGCCTGTGGCTGTGACATGCAAACAAAGTCAATCACACGAATGGTATTCAGTTTTCTAGCATCATTACAACAAACCAGCATTTAGATCAAGGATGAAATTAATTTTACTGACCTATGATGCAGTCTAGTTACTATGTCTAATCTCACTGCTAGGACATTTAAAATTCAAGAACTCACTTTTTTGAACTAGACAGAAAACTCAGTGCAGTTTTTCATTTTTCAGGGCCTTAATAATTATTTCAAGAAAGTCTAGGAGTTATTATTGCACTTTTCTTGGACAAAAAGTTAAAAAGAAACATATGCAAGGAACATTATTCTTTAAGGACTATGTCATGAAATTTCTGCCATTGGCTTTGACTGGACCTGTGAACTGCCAGTTTGGGGGAAGGAAAAGGTAATCTGGCTGCATCATCAGTGCTAAAATTCCACTCTTCAATTAAAGTCATCGCACAACAAAAACTCAGTACACTATATGATTTTTAAACATGCTAGAGTGTATATTAATTTTGTGAAAGTGATGTAAAGGTATCTTGGAAACAGCAATACTAGCAGGGAAGTTAGTTTCAAACAAAAGCCACACACACAACAGGAGGCATCTAGATTATTTAGGCACAAGTCCAAGCAATAAAGCTCATTTAAAGTGCAATTCTGTTTTTCTTCTTTTGTGTTTATTCACTTGTTAAAATACATAATTGCCTCTGTACACACATACTGAACAGTAGTTTAATACTTTTGTGAATATTGCACAAAAGAATGAGACATCAAAAGCATAAAAAATCTGCAATAAACCATTTTTAGAAACCTAAAAAACCTGAAGATATCAAATCCTTTAATTTATGCATTTAGGATAATCTGCACCGGTCCTGATGGTTTATCTGCACCTCAAACAAGGTAGACACGTTACCTGGAGATACTCACTCACTCCCACTGGACACTCTTCACAGCGCCCCCTCATCCCTCTCCCCATCCTCCTTCACTGAAGGGAGGCTTCAGTTCTCCCTTCACGACTTCTCTTCCCGCTGCTCATCTGCTGACGGGCTTTACTCAGACCCTGGACTTACTGTACGTGCAAGAGAACCTTCCCTGGCAGAGCGGAAGAGCCAAGGCCAGCGCAGCGCCCGGGGCCGAGCGCTCAACGCAGCCGCTCGCCCGGCCGCCTTCCACTCGGCTTCTCCGTAAGCGCTCCCAGCAAAACAGGGACAACACACGGAATATTCACACCAAGCACTTGTGCCTCTTCAACAGTATAAAATCACCCACAGAATAAATAATTTTTGTTCTTCTACTTCTGAAAAAAAAAAAAAAAGGTCTTTTTCTATTCTATGAAAACCCTTAATAGACTCTCTGCTTCATTCCTGCATTGCCAGTAAAGGTGCAGATAGGTAGATATCTGTACTTCTCAAGTTAAACACAAGTTTAAAATCCCTACATCAGACCAACGAAGCCTCCAGAACAAGCAGCAACAGGACTCATGGTGAAACATTGCTGTCAATAATATTCTTTGAAGTGACAATGAACTTCCTGCACAAAAAATCATATGCAATTAAAAATAAAATCACCTTCCCTTCAAGGAAAGTAAACTTTAAAAAAGAAAAAAATAAACACACTTCTATAGAAATATATATGGACCTGAAAATGAGCCAGGAATCCGATCATTCCCTCAGCAGTTTTTACACTTTTGAGAAATAGTCAGCTGCCAGGAGCTAATTTGGGGGAATATAAAAAGCCAGTTTTATTTTCTTATCAAAAGTAAATGTCTACTCTGATTCTGGACATAGGCCATCCAATTCAATGCTTTCCAAGGAAAGACATTTTCCTAGAGGATAATTCTAACAGTTATCTCAACTTATACTCATTTTGATCTTTTCAGCAGTTGCAACAATTAATGCTGCTCTCATTATTTCTTGCTTAATTCCCCTCTCCTCCTCCCTGCCCAAATTCACAGAAGTCCTGCAGCTCTTCAGAATCACACAGCCAGTTCTGAAATACACAGTATCCATCCCCTCACACCTCTTTCCCCCCCGACCTTTTAATCTTCTACCTCTATTACAGTGAAAAACAGTGAGGAATCTGAAATTTTCTTGGACATTAATTATGCATTGAGAAATATAACTCCAAAGTTTTTTTCCTTCTCTCATCCAACTAGGGTATCTAGCCCTGGTTGAAGTCCTTATATTACAACAGTTGATTATTGAGCGTATTTATGAAATGTTTATACCTATTCATTTTATTATCTGAAAGAAAAGAAACATGCCAACACCATATAGCCAAAACCTAGAACAAACTATTACATGGGGTTATGCTAATGATTTTAAAACCAAATTTAAGGAGAGGAGAAAAAAGTCCAATCCAAGAGACTATGATGGGGAAGAGGGAGAGATGGGACAGAAGGACAAGGCTCGAGCACACTTCATGGGATATTATGTTGTCAACCCACAGCATGCGTGTCATGGTCCCACAGCTGCACCATAATGGGCAAATATTTCCAGACCACTTACAGGAAGAGAAAAAAAAAAAAAAAAAAGCTTTCCTAGAGAGCAAACAGGGTGGTTTTCTGTTTATTTCCCCCAAAAGCTCCTTCCCAGTTATCATGCACCACTTCAGAAATAACAAAAACAAGAAACAACCCAAAACAAAATACACATCTCTGAAAAACTCTTAGAGTACCAGCTCTGATTAGGACATAATAGGATTGCTCAAAGCAAATAGGTGGGGTTGGGTTTTTTTTTTTTTTTTTTTGTAAATGTTTTCTTAAACCAAGTTTTATTACATAAAATAGTTCCACATTTTTACATATATGCCAAGACTTTGTGCAAACATTTCAAGTCAGGTACTTCAGAGTCTTTCAATAATAAATCAATAAATACAAGTAGCATAATAAAAGTTAAAAATATTAATTAAAACACATGTCGTGCAACCTCAACACAGGTGTTATGGACCCCCTATTCCCAGAGGCTCTTTACTTACCAATGCCAAGAGCCTGTTTTGGCAGGTTTTGCACAAGTATCCTTAGCACTGCGTTTCAACAGTTTACCCAATTATGTGTCTATTCAACACAGTAAAAGCATACCACAACGTCACAACAAATTAATGATGTCTATGAGATAAAGACATGTTTCACCCGGTGAAATCTGCTTACTGTCTGTGAACAGTGAAAATGGGGGGGGGAAAAAAAAAGAGCAACTTCATATTACAGCAATACAAACAAAAAACCTTCCTAACCCGTCAGATTAAATAACATTAAATATGTCAGTCTTTAGATAACGATAAATACAAGGATTTTGCATAGGCCTCTGGAACACAGAGTCAAAATTATGGCCAATAAAAACATCTGCTACTAAGTCTAATTTTCCACCACTCTAACCTAACTAGCAGTCAGAACCAAAAAGTTAGACTGAATTGCAATTTCATTGTCTAATAACGCAAAATAACAGATTTCTGCCTTCCTGAAATACCTAGTGCAGCATTCTGGTATTTGTGGTCAGCACAGATTTGAGTTTTTGCTTAATTAAGATGATCAGTGGGCAGTAGAACCGTTAGTGCAGACCTACAATATACCTGAACACGAAGAGCAGCTGCACAGCTGCTAACGTGAACTTCACCACGTAAGAGAATGGAATATGCAAACACTGGAGATGCTCCTTTTAATGTTCACTCGGGATTTGCAGGATGCAGATAGAGCCGCCTCGACAAAGGCATTCATGACCTGGCAGTAAATTAACGAGTGGCATCCCTCGGTGCGACACGTGCACGCGCGCTCAGTGCGTCTTTGGCTTAGGGAGGCGGGAACGCCGAGCAGAGGGCATGCTATCCCCACCATGCAAACCACTGCTCGGTACTTGCACCGTTTCCTTTCTTGGCACCGGTGCCTTTGGGATGTTCATCTTTGAACAAGGGTTTGGAGGCTCTGGAGATACCAGTGAGGATCTCTGACTGCTCGTTTGCTTAGATTTAACAAAGGACATAGTTGGGGGGCGAAGTTTAGATACTTTCTGGCTCTGTTTACCCTTTAGGTTAGTTTGACCAGATGTTGGCTCTGGCCGAGTGGGACTACTTGGTGGCAGAAGCTCAGGCTCCTTGGAAGCAGCAGAACGGTTTGCAGATCGCGCGAGCACGGCCACTGTTGGAGGCACTAAAGCAGTCGGGGGCTTTGCAATTCCTAGAGTCTTTGGCCGAGAAGCCTGGGTGCTGAGTGGGGGCCGACCTCTCACAGCTGGCTCAGTCTGCACCTCCCCAGCATCAGCTCGTGCAGCTGGCGGCCAACAGGAGCGAGGCTGGAAGCAGGAGCCTTCCTTAACACCAGCCAGCTCCCCAGGGGCTTCAGCGTTTTCGTTTTTCAAATTTTCCACATGTGGTGCAGTCTCATCTTTTATGTTTAGCTGTGTACTCATTAGTGTGTTTAGTTCATTCAGACTATTTGAGAGAGATGCATTTGCAGCATTTTGATTCTTACGATTGCCATTTTCATGCTGACCATGATGTTTAGGGTATTCACTGTGGGCCTCGGTAGGTGGCATTTTTATTAGTTTTCCCTGGGCGAGGTCTTTGGAACTGGGAAGGCTGCTGGAAGGCTGTAGTACTTGAGGCTGTTAAAGAGAAAATAGTACAGCAGTATATTAGGCAAAGAAAACACAAAACCAACATTCTGAACCCAGCGTGCGTTGACTGAATGTTTGATAAGGGCTGCATATCGTTTAAAAGAGAAATCAAAAAGTTGACTCGGGCAACACAGGATGGTTCATGGGACACAAACAAATATGACTTAGGTGGAAAAAATTATACTAGCACTGAAATACACAACTCAGCATAAAGACAAAAAATGATGAGCTTAAAACAAAATGAAGGAGGCTCGGTTGATGGTTTTGCTTTATTCTGCAGTGCAGCATAACAATGACATATGAATACCAATCGATTCTTTCAAGTGCTTAATAAATAAATGCAACAGTCACCTAACTGCACCCATCTTTTATCTTCTATGCACTACCTACTCAAATTAGCTTTCCCAAACTTTTTAATGTTAAAAGTCTCCAAAGGCAGGAAAGGACCACCAGGAATTTATGGGGCATTTTCCTTGCCTTACTGAGGTCAGGATATTTGATACAAATATGCTGCAGTCAGGTTACTGACTAGTCCTAGGGAACTGCTTAGTTGAAGGGAATTTAAATGGCCTGATAAAGAAACCCTCTTTAACAGTGGTATAACAGAGCACATGGGAAGTTAAGAGATCATAATCCACACTGATAACCAATGGATACATGTAACTCAGTGAGGATTTTGCAGTTTATCAGGAGAGATTCTAGTATTAGACAAGAGAATTGCTGGTACCTCTTCTGGGTCATTTCTATTTTTTTTTTTCCTTTGCTCTTCCCTGTAAAAAAAGACTTGACAGATTAATGTGTACCCTAGCTTGACATAAACATTCTGGACCTCAAAGTAGTAGACGGATCTTGGAAGAATTCAGGTTTCTGTAATATATGGCAAGCCTCCAAACCTACCAATGTTTCACCTACACATTCTAGCAAATTTCAAGTTTGGATAGTTTTCAGGTTTTCCTACAAAGTTAGTCTTAAAAAAAAAAAAAAAAAAAGACTAAAGTTCTTTGTTGAAAGAATTTGAATTTTTACCAATTGATATATTACATGTATATAGTTAACATGCTTATAAAGACTTGTTTACCAGTAAAATATAGTCAGTGAAAAGTAATTTTTTAAAGTAATTTCACTGAAATAGTCACTTCAGTCACCCTTAAACTGTTTACCACACCTAAATGAGGAAGAAAATTATCTGTTTGGTATTTTTAGCTCTTCTGCAAAGAGCAGAAGAAAACATGGTGATACCTGTGCGTGTCAAAGCCTTGTCGCATTTCTAGTGTGAGGCAGCTTCTCAGCGCTCACTGAGGTTTCATCTTTCACCTGGCTGGATGCCTACTCGCTGAAAACTATCTCTCCTGAAGGTCTTCATCAAGAGAATATGTAATAGTGAAAAGAGAAGCAATTAAGTTCTCTTAATCTAGTTCTGGTTTACTAACATTTTTACCTACCCTTGGAATGCAGCAATCCTACCTGCAAGCAAGAGCAGCATCAAAGTTGTACCAGTGACATCAGCAAGTGACAGAGGGAAGCACAGACACATGGAGCTGTCTGAATATTGATTTGGCAAAAGGAAGGGCACAAAAAGACTTAAATGGTGCAAGGCAATGTGCACTTTAAGAGTATTGCACATTTCCTTAGTTGGCCAAACCTAACCTAGCTTTGTGAGTTCTTAGCCAAACAGTCCGACTGGAAGAAAGCACTAAATACAATAATTCAATGTATTGGCTGTTAAACAAAGTTTTATATATACATATATATATATATATATACACACACACACACATATATATACACCCTCTAGGGATTTCTTCATTTTTCAGTGTTAATGTAACAGGTTACATAAGTCAATGTCCTTCCTACTAAAAGTTAGGAGCTGACAGAGAGACATTAGCCAACCTAGTTAACTGTTTTGAGAACTTGCCTGTAAAAACAAAGCTGTTAAGAACAAGTGCAGAAACCCAAGCGATGCATGCCTGATGAGGACACATACTGCAACAAATAATACCGATTTCCTAACCCTACTTAAAGGATCAAAAATAGGCATGTTTATAGCAAAGAGTTATTACATCAAATTCTAATATGCGAAAATAATATTAGTAAAATTTCCCCTCACCTACAGGGGTTTCTAAATCTCAGTCTCAAAGAATGCAGCTAAAAAATGAATCTGAGCATCAAAAATCATAAGTCAATGTCAAATTAATCCTAGTCAGAGGATTATTAAAGTGAAAACTTCATAAATTGCAGAAGAAACTAAATTTGTTAAAAAGCTAGGCATATGAAAACTTGAGAAATAGAGCAGAGGCATCTTTTTGACTTCAAGTTTCTGACAAAAGAAGCTAAAATATTTGTATTTTTACATTTTGACATGTTTCCTTTTTTAATTTCACATTTTAAAATATCCAAATATATAATTTCCTCATATTCTTTACCTTTCATAATCTAAAATGTTAAGGTGCTTAAGATCCATAATGTGGATCATAAAATCAGAAAATAGCTACAGTCTCAGAATTATGAGAAGTACACTAAAGCTGTAGCATCACCTGTTGATAAACAGCTTTATATATAGTACTGTTCTCTATTTTTGGATTTCTACTTAGTCAGTATGTGTCCAATTATCATGGTTACAGAATTAACCTCTTCAAATTGCTACATGCATTAACATTCAAGACGACATAGAGAGTAAAAAAAAAAAAAAAGAAACAGTTTTCAAAACACACAAGCAATGCTTCGCAAGAAAGATGCCTAACACTGCAAATTACCTTCATGCACATCTTACATCTGTGCCTTATATACAAGTTCTCCTTTGCTTAGGGAAATGCCAACCTAAGATTAGACTATTGGTCAAAAAGACACGTGGCAGAAGGACTAGTACTTGATGAGTTGATTAGTTATAAGGAGGGTGAGGGGAATAAGAAGATAAAGCAGCATTCTACCTTCCTGCAACAATAATACTTTATTCTATGGATGTCTTAATAAAACCCTCTTGTCTTTTGCATTGATTTGAATGCACGTTTGATCTTTTTGGGAGGCTGTGACTTGGTGTAGATTGACTTACTAACATTTAAACTTACATTTTTGTCCAATGCACAGAATGTTCAGGCGAACAAAAATACTTGTGCTGTGAAGTAGGACCCCAGTGTTTCTAGGACTAAGTAACCGAGGAGAATTAGCTCTCCCCAGAATGAAAGTACATTAGACAGAGGGCCTTGTGCACAGGTTCCTTCTTGCAAAGCAAATAAACAGACATTTCTGCAATGAAAAAAGTGTTGAAGATATGCAGGTATTGATGCACCAAGAAAAATTACTAAATTATAATCCCAACCATATTAACATAAAATAATTTCTCTCTATAAGATGTCTGTTGCATCATCCAGCTAAAAATGGCACTATATCCATGAAGATGTTTCCCATCCATCAATGCTGAACACTTACTGAACAACTGAGATATGTAGATATAACTATTTTATAGCAATCAAGAAATTAATCCCATCATAGACTCCATGTAATGCCTCTGCTGAATCAAGTAAGGCTATTTTTTCCCTCTGATATTTTAAGGAAGGAGGAAGTGATGCCAGGAGGGATCTGAGAACTGCATGCACATCCCTACAGACATGCATCATGCACGGGGCAAAAGCAACAGCGAAAACATGTGAGAAGGAGATGGGAAGAAATCTGAAGTTGTACTGTACCACGCTTTATCACAGAAGTAATGGACTAACTCCTCAACTCCTTGCCAATGGCATAATGGGAAAGCAGAGACAAGAGAGAGACAAGGACAGTGATGTCAGAAGACCAAGACAAAACACTGAGCGATCGCCACGGATGAACCGCAACTTTTCAGCGCTTGAATTGCAACCAGCACGTCCCCCGCGCCACTTCATCCATCTTCCAGAAACAAAGATGGCCCTGGTGCTTCAGTAACACAGTACAGGTAATATTTATGGCAAGTCCTGCATGGAATACCTTTGAACTTGAAGTCTTGGGCACATTCAAGTCTTTGTACCTGAACACCCTTTATAGCAATAAGCAGAACTTGTGTATGATTATAAATGTACACATGATAGTCAGTATAAAAATAAACTTTCTTAAAGAATAGTACTGTCTAGCTGAAAGCAAAATAACCACATCAAGGCAGACATTTTCTTCATAAATACAGTCACATGCAACTAGCACAGGCAATTATGACTATGAATTTTTGTTTGTAAACATACACTGTAAGAGTCAACTTACAGCAAGAGACTACACTTCTACTGAAATCTAATCTTCAACCACCCACATTGGGAGTATGCAATTTTTTCTTAAAAAACTTAAAAAAAAAAAAACACAACTGAGCAGTAATCTCTCAGAGCAAAAATCAATACATATTTAAAGAGAAAAGTAATGTAGCAGGACATTTCAAATGTTTGTCACCTCTTAGGTCACGGAATTTCCAAAGCGACATCCTGAACAATCTTTGACCTGCTAATGCTACTACTTTGTACACTCTACAAAGAGCCTTTGGTCAAAACTGGTCAAAGATTTATATTAATTATGGAAACATTTCATAACATTAAGGGACTCCTACTTGTTAAAAAGATGCATGAAAAAGTAAAGAAAAGCATGCATCTGATTTATAATTGGCACACATGCAGAAGCTTTCTGGCTGCTAATAAAAAGTATCACCTGCTGGAAGTTGCTTACATCACCTTCTTTTGTAACTCTAAACTCTCTGCAGAAGGTGAGCAGTAAGCAGAGATAAAAAGAACAGCAATGCCAGAGCTGAGTAACAAACAGAATTCTCATGTGTTTCTGTGTGGAGAAGTACTTGGGACCTGGGCCCTAAAGAAGCTGCTTTAACTTTCTTGTATTATACCCACACTTCCTCAATTGTTCATTGAAATTGAGACATATAAGCACTAAGAATGTAGGAGCTCCATTACTAAAACCTAAAAATTCCATAGAAAAGTTTTTAAATGTATTGTTTAAAGTTTGCTAAGCAAATTATGTCCTATTACCAAGAGAAAAATAAAGGAGAATTATGCAAGAATTGAGCACAAGACAATATTTGAGGCATAGCAGTATGAAAAAATATTGTTTGTGGAAATGACAAAAATATCAACATAGATTTAGAAAAATATTTATGCAATTTGAAATGCTGAATTGTTTCCAAGGCTGTTAGAACAACACTTGGGTTAATAAATACGCAAGTATTAAAAAAATTCTCATTAAAAGTACAAAAACCACATCTGATTAAGAGTGGATAAGAGGTTGTAGCGTTACGATAGATTCCTAGGGCCAGTTAAGCAGCAGATTCGCTAACCTTGTGATCGCTGCTAATACAGAAGAACTGTAATCACGTAAGTATTACAGTATTACACAGCAGAGATGTTATCTGCCCTGTAGAACAGGAGTAAAGTTGTATCACACAGTATAAGCAGTTGATCATGAAGAGTTTGCAGATTTTTAGCCTGATAATCTAGAGCACCTGTAAGGTGCCTATGCATCTCTAAACTATCAACATCACAGCCAAGAGGCAGCTGTTGGAACCTGCACTCAAACACGTGGATGACTCCTGTACATTGGGATCCAGAAGCTACAGAAAGAAAATGCTTGAATCCAAAAGTCTCCTAACAGAAAACAGAGCCAAACGGCAGTGAGATTAATTTGTGTTCCCTTCCCTACATTATTGCCATAGAACACTAATACTGACTGCAAGGCTGACCTTCCCATTCTAATTGGTGATACCGTGTTCAACACTTGCCTTGAAGTGCCACCTTTGGCATTTCACACAGAATAAAAGTAAAACATAGGCCTAAAAACACTGGACAAGGATAAGATATAGTGTGGGGAGGAGAAAGGATGCTAGTGATAATTTCTGTAATATTCTACCTCATGGGCACAATTCTGTAAAAGCACAGCTGTGAGACATTAGTTCTGCAAGTGTCAGTTAAGAGTGTCCAGGAACTCCCTCACCTGTACTTAATTTCTGTTCTCAGTATCTATCTTTTGATCAAGCCTTAGACTAAGAACACTCAGCTATAGGAAACAAGTATATCTCCCTGAACAACAGGGTTATTGATCTATTTTAGGTGCCCATGTTGTAATTCATAGGAGTTAATGCACAAGATGCAGGCTCTAAGACATCCACCCTGCTTTAGTAAGGGAAGGTCAGCGCGGGGTCCCGCCCGGAGAAGCTGCTGCCCAGTGTGGGGACGGAGGTGGGCGAGCGCAGAGCTCCTCCCCAGCTGGGCCCTGCTGGCAGCGAGGCACAAACGCGGCGCCCGGCTCCCTTCCAGCTCCGCTTCTGCGCCGACAGCACATTCCTGCGGGCTGCTTAAATGAGAATCATCACAAACATCAGGAGAGTATTTGAGATGCTCAAAATTGTTATATACATTATATATATATACATATATATATATATATAAAAACATGATTTGTTTTTGTAAATGAAGTCATACTAAGGATTATTACAAGCTTAAACAAATGCAAGCTTAGTTTTCCATGGTGCAGCGGTCTCCCTGCGTCCTGGAAATCTCAACGTTTCTGTAATTTTAGTTTTATTGCATTTCTTGCCCAAATACACTCCTGGATATTGTTGGACAATCAACCACACTGTAATTTGCAAATTACAGTAAATTTTAAAAATATAACTTTACCTTCATTAGCTAGTTATATTTCTTTGAACAATTATTTGCTTATAATGCAATACCAAAGCACAAAATAAGACTTACCATTTTGCTATGTCTATGTAAGCATACAATTTTAAAATCAGCAATTCTTTTTTTGGCAGATGGAAAGCAAGAGCACCAGTGCATCACGTGCATCACATCAGCCCACATTGTAGCTAGCACATAAACAATGTTAGTCCATCATGCATGTTTTGCAACAGCCACTTCAATTTATTATAAGCCTTTTTACAATAAATATCAAAAGGAAAAAAAATAGTTTCCGAAAAGCCATTCTGCAAAGAAAACTTCTCACGAAAAACAACAAAAAATCACCCAGTCACAGCAACATTTTTATGTGTGTCCACAACATATGTAGGTAAATACATCCACGTACGCACGCATGCCAACTTGTGCGCAAACCAAACACATACAAACAGGACAGTGCATCACAGCCATGAAAAAGAAAGGGAAAACGCAGCAAGCAAGATTTATGTTAAGACAAGACTGGAAACGAGAGCCTGTTGAGGTTTGCCTCTAGAATTGTTGGAGAAGATCAGCTTTTAATAACTTACAAAGCTGCAAGTCGTAGCTGCTTATAGGCTGTCTTAAGGAAGCATTGAGGTTAGCCACAAACTACTGTGTACGCCTGTAAATCTGCCTGGGGAGGGAGGAGACTACAGGATGAACAGTGCGTGCAAAGGGAAAGCTTCTACGGGAACACGGTGAGGGGAATGAGTGAGAGGTACAGACTCACTCTGTCTGCGGTGCGGTGGAGCAGTCCGAGGGATGCCCTGGAATGAGCCCTGCCAGGGAGAGAAGGAGGGAGCAAAATACCCACCCTGTGCAGAGAGAGAGAGGGGGAAAAGTATAATAAAAAAGAGAACAGGGAAAAACAAGACACCAAAAAGTCACACCATTCTTTTCCCCCAGAAAGCTGCCATGGCATTGCTCGCTTGCTCTCCCTCGCAGAGGCAAGCGCTGCGTGCGAGCAAAGCCCGCAGGAAACTCAACCACTTGGTGATGCTCTAAACTTGTCAGAAATCTTTTGCTTTCAGGACAAGAGCAGAGTATCACTAGCAGCACTGCACAGGAAGCACTCTTTTTTTTTGGCCTCCAAAACATATGTACACATTAATATCCAGTGCCCGTTGTGATTTCCTGTATCAGAAGAGCAGGTCTGGTTCTTCACCACCTCTTACCGACTGGAACAGCTCT